TCACTAAAACCTCTCATTTTCTTAAGGAAAAAAATGTTATAAAGAAAATATTTCTTTACTTAATAGAATTTATCTTAAGAAATGTCTTAACTTCTTTCTTAAAAAGATTTTTGTGAATCTGGCCAAGATTTTATATGAGGCCAGATCCCAATATGCCTTGAAATTGCATTCTCTGATGTTATTTCTATGTGTTCTGTTGCCCTAAAGCACCGGTTTCTGTGCCTGTCATCACTGGTGGCTCATTGTTCAGTGCAAATCATTCTGAAGGTCAGTCTTATCTGTATTCTCATATATTTATTTAAACGTATCTTAGCAGGCAAAGAAGATCAAACTTTGATGCAGAGATGTTACTTAGTGCTTATAAAGCCTGTATCATATTTGATATGCAAATCTCAACGTTTTGATCAACATGATCAACACTTTGCAAACATATACTACATGTCTTCTCTCGTCTGACTGATAGTTACAATAAGTTATATTTCAAGCTATAAAATCATATAAATAATTATAATAATAAAACTATAGTTTTATACAGTTTGGGCCATTGAACTGAGTTTTTTTTTTTTCCTCTCAGAATTTCCAAATAGAGATTTCTGCTCTGTGGTCTGCTCTGTGAAGAATGATCGAGACGTGTCTGTCTCGTGGTATAAAGGGGGTGAAATGCAAGCAAAGTACAGGCAGGAAAACAATCAAACTACAACATAAAATAATAAACTAAACATAAACAACAAAATGAAACGAAACGAAACTCTAATGCATATTCGTGTTTGTGCTCTGGAGAGCTGCTTGCAGAGAGTTTTTTGCCGTGTTGAGCAGTGTAGCCAATCACGGACATATCTGTTGATTTCTAGAACTTCTTGATATGAAGAAAAAAGGTTCTCTCAAACTGTTCAGAATTAACCTGACACAACAGATGTCCACTAGGTTCATCAAAGTCACAGAAGATGAAGGAGTTCTGCTCTGTGTTGTGTTCTGTGAAAAATGATCGAGGTGTGTTCATCTCGTGGTATAAAGGAGGAGAAATGTTGAACCAGACCAGCAATCCTGATCTCAGCATCAACCTCAGTTTAGCATTAGAGCTTCATTATAACGATCCAGAGACCTACAGCTGCACGGCTGTGAATCCAGTGAGCAATAAGAGCGTCCGTCTTCACATGAAAGAGATCTGCCCACGACAGGAAGGTACAAGAAATACTACATTTACCATAGAACTCTGCCTGCCGTAATGACCTCCGTGCAGCATCTGTTTTTCCACAGACAAAGACATTTGATGAGCCAGAAAATGTTCATGAGCTGCTCTCTTCTCTTTCAGATTGTCTGGATTATTGTGGCGTCACTGAGGCTCTGATTCGTCTGGTTCTGTCTGGTCTGGTGGGAATCGCCACTGTTGGGTTTCTTATTGAACATTTGAGGTTCTGCTCATCTCGGAGAAGAGCTGCTGCTTCTGTGTGATGATGATACTTTTGTGAGACCAACCAACATGTCATATCGAATCATGCATATGGGGCTTTAGTTAGTTACAAGTCAAGTCACCTTTATTTGTATAACGCTTTATACAATACTGGTTGTGTCAAAGGAGCTTTACAGTGTCAAACAGGAAAATAGTTGGTCAAAAATGCAAGAAAATAAAGTCATTTTTCCAGTCTCACATTACTGTATATCAGAGTTATCCTAGAATTCACATCAAAGCTATCTTTCTTTACAAAATAATGCATTTCAATGAAATGAAACCCCTTAAAATGAAAAGCAGTGCCAGTGGAGCAGGAAGTGGTCTAGTGGTTTGTGTTCTGCAGTGGCATGCAATGGTAAAACAGAACAATACTAACAATTAAACGCTATAGAAATGTGTATATTTGAGCCTTTTACCGGTCAAGTCTTTTTGAAATTTTTGCAGAATCTTTAACAATTGTACCTTTTGTATCACATTTGTACCACAATAAAACAAAAGGTTATCAGTTAACACACCTGCAACCTTCATAGTAAAATAATTAAATTTTCTTGAGAGAATTCGAATATCTAGAGTGTATATCAAGTCAATCATCCAACAAAAAAATAAAAACACAAGCTTTTTTTTTTTTTCCAAGAACTTTTATTTTAAAGTAAAATTGTGCAAGCGTTAAGTTAATATAAAAATAATTTAGAACGTCATAAACTAAAATACTGAATATTTATAAATACATTTTAAGCAGCACTTCTTAAAATACATACTGTGGTCTTTGTGTCACCCAGTGAAGAAGCCAAAGGTGACAGTGTGAAGAAAAAACTCCCCAAAAGGTTTAGTTACAGAGGAATAAACCTTGGGAGATGTTCGGGTGGAGAAGCCCTCCTCCTCAGGATGGCACAAGATTACAATACTGTCCCAATGCTGATTCCAAAACCAGTCATGTAACAATCAAACCCAGTGGCGTAATGTCTGACATGGGGAAATAACAACTTACAATTCCATCCATTTCCGCATGTAAAGCTGATATGACTTCTGAAGACCTGGAATATGGCACACGGTTTTCTGGGCAATTTTCATGGTATATTAAATGTACGTTTGTTGTTCTTTTTGAAGCCTGGTGGTTGGGGTCCCTGATCCACATTAATACGTAAAAAGCAACCCTGACATTCGCACTGTTTTGTTTTGTTGGTCACAGAAAAAAAAAGGGAAAAAAAGTCATGCAGGTTAAGAACAACTTGAGGGTGAGTAAAAGATGATAATTTTCATTTTTGAGTGAACTATTCCTTTAATAAAGCTCTTCACCAACAAAGATTTTATTTGTCTCTGAAAATACTTACCTTCTTGTAACAGATGTAAAGCCCAAAGATGATCAGCACAGTGACCCCAGCTGAAACAGACCCTGACTGTGTTGCTGAAGTGCTAGTAGGTCCTGGACTGGGCATTTTTTTTTTTTCAATATTGTTTTGTTTTACAATATACTTTTAAGTTGTTATACAACAAATCAATCTAGCGACGTGTTATTATTATCGAGGAAAAACATCGCGCGGGTCCCAGAAGCGACGGAGGACGGGGAAGAAAGTTCGAGAAACTTCTGTCATCTACTCTCTACTCAGACCCGTGTGTCGTGACCGGTTTGATCCGGCCTTTTCCAGTCTTTGTTCGGTTCTTAGCGCAGTGTTTGCTTTCACGGTAACTGTCCGTTCTGTCGTTTCCCTGCTTGTTTTATTAGCCGCTGACTGAAAACTAGCTAGCATGTTCTAGTACACAAGATTACAGTATATAACTCGGGATTTCTCGATCCGTTGACTGTCTTGGCCATTCAATAAACAATTTACAAACAAAGTATTACCAAGCGAATGAGTTTATTCTTCATGTTGCAAAAGATGAATCGATCCATGTTGTGATAAGCAGCTCGCTGCGGCCTACGCCATTAACAAAACCAAAACCCTGGGACACATCCGAGCTCAGAAAATGAAGTAAACAGCAGGATATCTAGAGAAGTTGGATTAGAATAGGGGCATTAACGTAGACAAAATGGGCAGAGAGAATAAGATGACTTCTCACTTCATCTGTGTGTTAGATTTGAAACAATAAATTAATTAATCTTCCATGAACAGGCCGTGTATCACCTTTACTGTATGAAGAGTTCTTTAAAAACATGATTTCCCTGAACTATATGTTCTCCCAAAGACCTGTGAGACTAGAAAATGCTTCACTTCAGTTTTCTCTGTATTTTGTTTTTTTTCCCTCCTGGTGGTAATCAGCAACAGCATAAACACACACAGTGTTCACTCATCTGTGAATTTAACATAAGAAATGTATTGAACAGAGTTTGGCCACTTTATATTTCAACGCATCACATTCTCATTTACATGTCACTAATACAGCAATCCATTCAAATCAAATTCCAAGGATCCACTAATATCACAAATAATTTTGTTGCTGAATGTGTTCAGTCATATTTAATGAGAGACACTACTCATACCATAGAAGAGAATGCGATCACACTGTATTCTTCTCACAAATATCAGCAAATCTGTTGTATTTATCATCAAAATAATCATTTGAAGAAAAACAGGTCAGGTTTGTAACCAAAATATATCACAGTTTGCATGAGTTTCTAATTAATAATTCTTGATATCATGAACATTATGAGTCATTAGCAGTGAAGTGTTTAAAACTGAATCCTCATGTTTAGTTTCTTCCAAAACCAAAATGAAGTGAAATTAAACTCTTGAGCAGTAAAACTAAAAACCTACAGACATAAGACAAAGCAAAGGGAGTTGCTTTCCACAGCAAAGTCACATCAAAACAAAAGCTCCACACTTTGAGTCCGGTTTAACGACGGATCGACTGGCGGGTTTGATCTCCGTGAGGTTTAGCTGACATGAGAACTAATGAAAAACAAACGTGTGAAAGCAGATCTTCATCACTCGCTCCATTACTGATGTTACTGTCAGTGAGGAGGAACCCAGTGTCTGATCGTACAGGACTGTGAGTCTCATAGAGATGTTCACTCGGTGGAAAACAGATCTCCAGCAGACGGGAGAGGAGCGAGGCCGCCGGTGACGTTCGGTAGGAGAGAAAGGTCTGGAAGACTCTGGATGTGAGACTTGAGCTCCTTCCTCACTTGTGTGACGCGAGCCAGTTTCTGCTTGTACTCCTGCAAGAACATCAGATATTCAATGAATGACTGAATTGATCAGACAACCATTCAAAAGTGTGGGGTCATTCACATTTTTTAAAAGAAATTAATACTTTTATTCAGTAAAGATTAATTAAATTGATCAAAAGTGACAGTATAGACATAATGCTAAAAAAAAATTCTATTTCAAATAAATGCTGCTCTTTTGAACGTTCGGTTCACCAGAGAATCCTGAAAAATAAAATGCATACATGCAACTTCCACAACACTGTGTATTTGTGTTTTCAACACTGATAATAATCAGAAATGTTTCTTGAGCAGCCGTCCAGGGTCACAAATTACATTTTAATATCTATTAAAATAGAAATCAGTTATTTGAAATTGTAATAATACTTCATAATATTACTGTTTTTACTGTATTTCTGATCAAATAAATGCAGCCTTGGTGAGCAGAAGAGAATTGTTTAAAAATATTTAAAAATCTTATGTATTTCAGATACTTAAAGGTAATTTAAGTAATGCATTAACTCAAAAATGTATTTTTTTAGTCTTTCCAAATATGTTTGATTTACCTTCTCCCATAAAACACAAAAGGAAGCGTTTTACAGAAGCTTGTTTTCAAGCTCCAAAATGGATAAAAAGTACCATAAAAGTATGAAAAGTATCCCAAAAGTTGTCCATATGACTTGGCGATATATTTAAAGTCTTCTGAAACCAAGACAGCTTTGTGTGAGGAATTAAACCTAAATTAACCTCAACTTAAGTTGAAGCACAATTATGATTTATCAGGGAATAATGATTTCATTTTGGTCTTTCGGATGATTTCTAAAAACTTGAATACAAGTCATATGGACTACTTTTTGTTGCTTGAAGGTAAAAATCACATCCACTTTCATTATATTGAAATCATCAGCTCTGGTATTCTGCAGAAAATCAAATAGAGTTGGAAAGACACGAGGAGCAGATGACGACAGGACGGTAAACTTGTCGTTAGTCTCGTACCTCCAGCTTCTTCTCCCTCTCGTTGAGCGCATCTCTCTGGCTCTGGATGTATTCTGTCAGCATTCGGGCCAGCTGTCTCCGGTCCTCTAACTCAGCGGCCAGGCGTCCGTTGTACTCAGCCAGCAGCAGACAGGCCTCGTCCACCGTCTTTGACAGCTTATCTGCCGCCTGTTTATCTGCAGAGGACACAACATGAAGCGCTTCATCAGAAAACCACTTCCTGTTAGACAGGGTTACGTTTCTCCAGCGAGACTCACCTGTGATCTTCTCCAGAAGAGAAACATCCTGCACTTCCTGTGGAAGGGATGCGATCTTCTGTCTCACGGCAGCGTCACCGGACGCAGCGTTCTCGAGATCCTGCAGCGCTTTCACCAGATCCTCCGTCTGAGGATCATGACAATCACACACCATCTTTCTTAGAAGTCAGGTTCTTATAAATCACATTGGTAGTTGCTTTGAACCATCAAACAGTTTTAGCAATATCTTGCAACGTGACATCGAATCAACTACCCAAGCTTTTTATATATGCATTATATTACATACATTATATCATAATTGTATAAATTTATTACATTATTAATGTAAATATTTTTTTCCTACCATGAGTCCCTTAGTTTGGGGTATCATTTAAATGCCATTTATTCAAAGAAGTGTGATTCTTACCCATGATTGTTGATATTGATTGTTATTGTAGCATTTTTATTCAAAGATAAGCTCTTAGATTTAGAATTAATATGTATATTTACATATTGTTGTTTTAGTACCATTTTTAAACTTTTTTGACTTCGTTAGTCAATTTTCAATGGTCCTGCAAAGTGAAAAATGAACCAAAAGAAATGAAAATACAAACTTTGTGTAAAATATTATATAATAATAATAAAAAGAAAATCAGATCAAGAATTACGTGTAAAGCAGCTTTAGCAGTGTCTCTGAAAATGTTTTAAACATTTTAATTTAATTCTGTTATTATAGACATTTTTATATTATATTATACATGGAACGTTTGCATTTTTATTTTATATTTCAATTTATTTTTCACATTGCAGGAGCATTTAAAATGGACTAATGAAATCAAAAAAAAGTTTAAAAATGGTGCTAAAATAAAAAAAACCATAAAAACAGACATAGAAATTATAAATCTAGAATCCTGATATTGAATAGAAATGCTATAACAACAATCAGTATCAAGAATCAAAGCTTATAATCACAATTCTTTCGAGTAAATTTTATTCGTACCAGTTGTGGAGCGGCTGCGTCCGTCTCCTGGGGAGAATAGTGACCTCTATAATCATCATCTTCCTCCTCCTCTTCCTCCTGGACCTTCTGGTAGCTTCTCTTTAAATTTTTTCTATCATCTACTAAAAAACAGCATGCAACTTTTACTTCACTTTACTTTCAAAAAGAGATGATTCACTTCATGCATTCTACAAGCCAAGACAAGACAGTTAACAAGCATGCATTCTGGTGAAAACAATGCCTGATGAAGGTTGCATGACCAAAACGTTGTATTAAAATAAGATTTGCAAGCTATAGTAGTTATGAAAACTGAAATAACACAAAGGAAGCCTGGGAATGATGTAGCGATGAACACATAAGACACAAATGAAAGCTCTCATATTGAGCTTCTTTATCTAGATTGCAGCTCTGATCATTCTAGACATTCATCAGATGCATCTTGGGATGTTTTTAGAGCTTTTACGCAATATGCAAGTATTACGCTGACCTGCGGGCTTGTGTTTGGGACTGTCTGAGTCCTCAATAGCCAGTTTGAGCTGCTGGATGAAGTCTGAACGGTAGAGGCTTCGCTCCTGCCAGATGTTCAGCAACCTCTCCATCTGCTTCTTAGAACCATCATCTCCATCTCTGCCAGAGAAAGACACAGAATATATGTGAGGCGGGACAAACTCATACTACTGAAGGCATGAAGCATATATGAAGGTGTGTTTACCTGGCCACGTGTGAGCAGGCATCAACCAGGACGCCCTCAAAGTCTTTGGCGAACTCGGGACCCTTTTTCTTACTGTTCTGAATCACGTCATTAGCCAGATACAGGAACGTCAACTTCCTGCTGCGTTTAGCTGAACAACAAACACATTTAATTATTATTAACTCTAAAACAAATCTTTTTTGTGTGTGTTTCAGTTTTACTGTTTGATCATTTCAGTCATTTTTGAAGGTTAACCTTCAACCAAGATGCCTTGTGCAAACTGAACTTAGACCAGTAAAGTTTGGTCTTATGTTCCTCGACTGACCAAATCTGTTTGTTCCCTTTAAAGGAATAGTTCAGCTCAAAATGAAAATGTACTCACCCTCAGGTCATCCAAGATTAGGATGAGTTTGTTTCTTCATCAGATTTGGAGAAATGTAGCATTGCATCAGTGTCTCAGCAATGGATGCTCTGCAGTGAATGGGTGCCGTCAGAATGAGAGTCCAAACAGCTGATAAAAACATCACAATAATCCACACCACTCCAGTCCATCAATTAACGTCCATAATCCATAATAAGTGAAAAAGTCCATCCCCCGTTGTCTCTCACATCAAAATCCAGCCACATATTTGTTTACAACTGTTTTTTGCCTGATCTGCATATTTCTCTCCTGATTCAGACGAGATGAAATTTTCACTGGAGGAAGTGTTGTTTTAGATTATGGACTGCATTTAGCAGGAAGCAAGCAACAGTCTGAAGTTAAAAATGTCTTAATGATGGATTTGTTTCGTACATACACGCAGCTTTTGGCTTCACCAGACATTAACTGATGGACTGGAGTGGTGTGGATTACTTGTGGATTATTGTGATGTTTTTATCAGCTGTTTGGACTCTCATTCTGACGGCACCCATTCACTGCAGAGCATCCATTGCTGAGACACTGATGCAATGCTACATTTCTCCAAATCTGATGAAGAAACAAACTCATCTACATCTTGGATGACCTGAGAGTGAGCACATTTTTGGCAAATTTTCACTATTCCTTCCTTCAACTACCATTCTAAACCCAAAGCTGCAGCTGCTAACCGATCACCAGCGTCTGCAGCAGTAAAGCTCTCTTACCTTTCTTCAGTTCTCTGTGCCACACGCGCACGATGAAGGATGCATGTTTGCGGTGATGAATGATCCACAGAGACAGAGTCTGAACGCTCTGCTGCGAGTTACTCAGTTCAGACAGCTTCTTCTCCAGCGCAGACTCGGAGAAAGACGACATGCTGACCGCTCTCTCTCACCGAACAACTCTAACAAGACAACAGATTAATAACAGGTCTGAGTTGCATTTTACTTAAGAAACTTAAAGTTGATAGATAGATAGATAGATAGATCACACAAGACACTGCTGAAACTGTCTGACATGTTATTCTGCATCTGAAGCTACTTTATAAATAACATTTTATTATATTTCTTATATCATATTATAGCTTATACATGGAATATTTGTATGTTTATTTTATTTTTCCACACTGCAGGACCATTTAAATTGGACTACTGAAAAAAAGAAGTTTAAAAACTGTGCTAAAATCAAAACATACACATTCTCTCATACTGTCATATATATATATGTTTTAATCTGGAAGCTCGATATTAAATCGAAATGCTATAATAATCCATTTTATCAACTAACTAACCACATACATACACATTATATATGAAATGTTGTGGTGTGACATGCTATACACCATATTAAACTACTTTCAAATGCATTTAGCTTATTTATGAATTATTATGCATATAGGATCATTTTCAGAGGACTAGGCCTACTTGTATTAAGAGAGACCACATGGAATATTTGTACTTTTAAAGACCAATATATAGTAAAACAAGGTACATATAAGTAAAATATACATATATAAACAAAGTATATATATAACGGTAGTTTGATTGCATATATATGTGATTAATAAATGAAATATAATTGATGAGTTTGAACTTAAACTCTCTGCACTTCATGCATAGTGTGAGTTATTGATTAGTTGAGGTGATTAGTTGTAATGCATAATTTCCGGGACATGCAGTGAACATGTTCAAGACAGTAAAAGCTAATGAAGCAGTTTAAAGAAACAAATCAAGCAACAACTAAACGATAAAGGTAAATAACTTCTCACCTGTCAGCAGTTTTTGTCGCCTTATCTGGATTTAACTTCAATATGGCAAAACGCACGCGGAAACCCCTGAAATACAAAATACCGCGGATCAAAAGGGCGGTTTAAGTCGAGATATTAATAAATCGATACAATACGCGAGTATATTCCTCGAAACTTCTGCCGAATGTTTGAACACGATGAGATTTTGTTGCAAGTTGGTTGATAAACAAACGAGGGTCGCGTGCGTGACGTCATGCCGACGTCATAGAGACGCGACGTCATGCTGGATGTGTTTTTTGCAACACTGTGATCTTTACAACATGTGTCGTTTTGAATAATAATAGCAGTCATTTTCTAGTGGTGTGTGTTCTTTTGTCTAAGAAACCCTGCCTTTGTTTGGTAGCAGGCATAGAGGATCTCCATCTGGACTGAATTTCGTAATTTTGTATTTAATGACATGAAGCAGGGGTTTAATGTCATGATTATGAGCTTGAAACAGCATAATGTGCTGCTGCTGACATGACTTAGCTGGACTGAACCACTCAGAGTAAGTATTATGGGAAATTTTAAGGGGAGGGGCTGTAAGTCATTATTCAATATGCTCTTTCCCTCTTCCTATATTAAAATGAAACTTGACCATAGAAGAATATACTAAAAACAAGTTGTTTTTGTGATTTCAAGGTTTTAAATTTGTTGATCAGGCATCATCTTATTAATCATACACAGTAACAAGAGTAATATACACCTCAAAGGAAATGTCATGTTTTAGTGTGATAAGCAGTTCATAGTTGGTAATTGTCAGACTCTTTTGTCAATGTGTTTTGCCTGTTTGTATGTTTATTTGTTTTAAGATAGCATATGTATGCTAGTCAAAACAATCATCAGCAATATTATTTAAGAAGTTAGAAAAGGAGCTGTATCTATTGTGAAATGCATTTGCTAGACTATATAATCAAAATGTAATTTAAATCAGATATTGAATACTAACTGATGCTGCTTAATGCTTTGATTAATTGCCAAAAGTTTTGTAAAATCAGTTCATATTGTTAGCTTTTTTTTGTGCAATTTTTTGAAAATTAGAGCTGCACGATAAATCGCATGCAATATTATCATCTTATTAATCATACACAGTAACAAGAGTAATATACACCTCAAAGGAAATGTCATGTTTTAGTGTGATAAGCAGTTCATAGTTGGTAATTGTCAGACTCTTTTGTCAATGTGTTTTGCCTGTTTGTATGTTTATTTGTTTTAAGATAGCATATGTATGCTAGTCAAAACAATCATCAGCAATATTATTTAAGAAGTTAGAAAAGGAGCTGTATCTATTGTGAAATGCATTTGCTAGACTATATAATCAAAATGTAATTTAAATCAGATATTGAATACTAACTGATGCTGCTTAATGCTTTGATTAATTGCCAAAAGTTTTGTAAAATCAGTTAACATTGTTAGCTTTTTTTTTGTGTAATTTTTTGAAAATTAGAGCTGCACGATAAATCGCGTGCGATATTTAATGCGCATCTTGTCAGTAATGCCAGTTCTGTAATCAGCGGTAAATCTCCATCATGTGTGTGCTTTCACATTGAGCAGCATTTACTACACAGAGCCGTTGTTCTCCGACAAGCTGCGCAAAATATGATAGTGGTTTTGCGCAGCTTGTCAGTGAACAACGGCTCTGTGTAGTAAATGCTGCTCCATGTGAAAGCACACACGTGATGGAGATTTACTGCTGGCTTTACTGACAAGATGCGCATTAAATATCGCATGCGATTTATCGTGCAGCCCTACTGAAAATCATATTTCAGAAAGTTAAAGTTAAATCCCCACTGAACAATAATGAAACAATCTTCCTTCACAGATCTCATAGCTCCATACATGGATAATGGCTGAACATCAGATCGAAGACCCAAAGATTGCATTTGCATATCTCCGACCATCCTGTGTCCTCCTGACCAAAGAACCTACGACTGCTAACGTAGAAGCTCTTAGCGGTCATCTCCGCAGTGTGAGCGATGGAGCTCTTCAACAGCTCCAGGACTATGTTCTGTTTCCCCTAAGATTTGTTCTCAAAACTCCTGGCTCCAAGCGGGAGGGACTCATCCAGGCGGTGATGGAAGTCATGACGTATGTATTGGAGAACACTTGCGTTCAGAGTTGGGATTCTCTTCGGGATCTTTTCTCCGAGCTGTGCCTTTGTCTTTGTTCCCCAAAAGACCCTGGAAAACCCGCCACAACCTCTGAGGAACTAAAGCTGGCCGTGCTCAGATGCCTGGACGCCCTCTTGCACTCTGCCTATGGTGACATTGCTTTTAAACTCTATGAGCCAAGCATGTTGCCCGGACTTGGAGCCGCTGTGTCGCTGCTTCTGGCTCTCGCAGAGCATGAAAAGGCCAGAGGAGTTCAAACGGCTTCCCTGAAATGTCTCCTTTCTTTGTTTCAGCAGTGCAACTGCGAAGAGGAACACATTGAGCCAAGACCGGATGAGAGGTATCTGCTCGGACGTACCTTGGCCACGTTTTTACCTGGCATTTCCCGCTCGCTGAGTCTCGTGATCAGTGGAGACATAAGACAAGGCCATGGGGTTACAGTGAAGGCCATGAGGGTTTGGTACAAGGTAGTTGGTCTGGTAATGGCCGATGAGCAGCTTCAGCAGACAGACAATGATGTAGTAGCTGCTGATCTGGGGAGGGTTGAGGAGCTTGTTGTAAAGAGGACTCCATCCTGGCGCAAAGCCACATCCAAGCGCCTTGCCATGGTCTTACAGAATATCATTTCTTGCACTTCTTCCCACCCGGACTGGAGAGTCAGGCTTGAGTTGGTCAATCTATCCCATTTCCTCCTTTCTCAGTGTAGCCAGTCTGTTGGTGAATGTGTCGGTCCTCTTCTGGAAGCATTGGTAGGTGCTGTCAACGATGAGGAACCTGAGGTTAAGCACAGGTGCAGTGCAGCACTGGATGAGGTGGCACAAAAAGGTCAAACCAATGGTGGGCAGGACTTTACTGACATTCTATCCGAAAACCTCCACAGCTTGGCGTCGTCCTTACCTAGACTTATGAGAACGTCTGACGACCAACACAAGCTCTTTGTTCTTAACGTGTTCCTTGGGTACCTCAAGATTCTGGGGCCCAAAGTGGATGTGGTACTAACTTCAGCAGTACATCTTGAGCGCATCTCCAGAGCATTCATGCAGGTGATGGAGCTGGACGTAACGGATGTGAAGATCATTGAGGAGAAGACTCTAACGTCTTCAACAAACCTGGGACCTGACATGCACCAAATCCCATCCCAGAGGAAATACTTCCTCTACTTCACAGATGACAAAATATTCTCAGCACTCAGGAAGATCTGCCGCATGTTGGGATGCTACGGAAACCTCTACCTTCTTGTAGACCGCTTCATGGAGCTGTACAAGGAGTCTTCGGTTTACAGAAAGCAAGCTGCTTTGGTCCTCAACGAGGTCATTGTTGGTGCTGCAGGCATTGGCGTAGAGATGGACAATTCTAGGGTTGATTGTTCAGGAGCAAACCAGTCTAGAACAAGTCAAGAAGACTTGAAATCGTCAATCATGTCCATCATCGAGGAGTACATCAGTTTGAGTAACTGGCATCTCCCTACAGTCTCAGAAGCCTTGGAAGGGAAACTTGAGTCTACAAACTCCTTGGTGTTCAATAATCCAGAACGAAACTGTCTGCAGCTGCTTCCAGCATCCAAAACTCCAACGCTCCACCAACTCAACAGCAACATCTGGCAAATCTGTATCCAGTTGGATGGCATCGGAGGCTTCGCCCTGGCATTAGGCACCGATTTCCGTTTGCTTCTAATGACAACGCTATACCCTGTGCTGGAGAAGGCCGGAGACGAGTTGCTTCTTGTCAGCCAAGCGGCTTTTAGCGCCATGTGCGACCTCTGCAAGGCTTGCGATTACAGTTCACCCAAGGAGCTGGTCATCGAGAACTCAGACTACCTTCTCAATGATGTTTCTCTAAACCTGGCCAGACCTAGCATTCACCCTCATGCTCCGCGAGTTCTTGCAGTCATGTTCACTCACTCAGATGCCAGTCTGCTGCCTCTAGTGGCCGATGTAGTGCAGGACGTGTTAACGGCACTTGATCTCAGCTATGACCGGAGAGCGCCACAGTTCTGTAGTGTGCTGCACTCACTCATGAAAGCACTTGGTATGTCTTACTTTTCCTTAGTTTACTTAACTATTATTTCAAACATTGTTACTCTTAAGTATTAGTGGCTAAATGTGTTTTTAGAGTTTGAAAAAGCCAAACATGTTTACCACAGTGAGATGGTTCCCCGCTTCTCTGGGACACCAGAAGACACCCAGCAAAGAGACCCATAATAAAGAGTGTGTGAACTTGAGGCAGTTTCTCCTGGACTATAAGAAGCATAAGGAGCTTGCAGAAGGCATTGGAGTAGAGGAGGAAGATCCTAACGATCTAGGTTTGTGATTTTGATTCATTTATGTTTGGCCTAACCGGCCTAACCTTAGATTTTAAACTTAAATGCAAATGCTGTTGCTTTTCTAAGCAGTCAGACTTATGATTTTTACCTGGCAGGTGATAAAACTAGTAAGGGACTTCAGCCACTTCAAAACTGAATCCGTAATGTTTACAAAATTGGAGTTTACTTGTGTACTTCATAAAATGTAATGCATTTTTTAGACCTTCATTTCCCAGGATGCATTACCTGTGTTGCCTTTCCTAGAAATTTAGTTCAGTAAATTTCTATTCCTGTCATGAATGGGAGCCAATTCTTAAATTCTGAATGTTGCATGACCTTGATATCTAGAGACCAAAATACCTGGGAGTTGTTTTTTTTTTTGGACTAGTAAGCTAATTCTCCAAAAACACTTTCCAATAATAACCTGGCAACTGCAGAGCAATCACTCAGAACATCATAGCAACCATTGCATGGGCGACTACCATATTTTCTTCAGCAAATACTTGAGCATTACAGTTCCTGCTTGTAATTTAATTCTTGCACAGCAGACGACAGTAATGATCCAGTGAGTTGCCGCAGCATAAAAGTAAAAAGTGTTGGAACTGTTACGTTAATTCTGCTGAAGGTTTCATCATAGCCGCAGACCTGTAATAGAT